AAGGACTCATCCCCCCCTTTTTTCGTTTTTTCTTTTTTATCAAACACATGGCTCCACTCTATTGGTGGGGAGCAAACACCTGCTGGGAAACGTGTGCGGTGGTCCTTGATAAAAGTGGATACTCACGCAAAACGCTTCCCCACCTAAGGCCCTGGGAACCGTGACAGCATTGATTTCTTCCTCAGGGAAGTATTGACTGCCAGTTAAACCACCAGTACTTCCTAAAGTCGTGCCTGTTAACAAGCCGCAATTTTAGGAAATGTACGGGCCACTACAGCAGCGCTCAAAGTCATCCGACTAGAAGTGTTTTTGCTCTATTTTTTTCCACGGCCGATAGCTGGGCCAAGTACTGGTGATTTAAGCCCACCCCTTTGTCAGACATTTTGCGAGTTGTTCCCATTCTACAAAGAAGCATTCTCAAAAACTGCCGTAGTTATCGTCGATCTAATTCCCAAATGTCTATTACCTATTACAGCTTTTTTTCTTTCTTTCTTTTTTTTTATTTATTTATTAAAGGTCCATGTCGTGGAAGAGGGTGGATGCCAGGCCTCGGGAGGTGTCTGTTGTCTTACTCAACCAGTGAGGGGATCAGATGGCTTGTGGCAACCCTAAGGACAGTCTTCCTCCAGGGGGTCTCATTCGTGACCTGTTATATCCTAATCTTATCACAAGTCGAGCCCTACAGCGGTGCGACCCACACCTCTCTATGTAGACCTAGACCTACACCAACCCACGCCTTTCGAGGGGTCATAGACAATTTCCCCCGGGCTCTACTATAGGGACACCCCGAATCTCGAGGACAACCTGGATACAGGAGGGGTCATGGACATACACGGTCATTCCCCCCCCTGTATCACATCGTGCAGACTCTATGGGCGGCAAAGCCACCCTTCTACATCAATGCGACAACCCTCCGCCCCCTGCCTAAGATGACACCATATCTAGAAACCCTTCCTCAGACTCACGCCCCAGTCGACCCCTCAGTGGGAACTCAGACAGACACCAACCCGGATGAAGCCCAGCCCACAAGCATCGAGGGATCAACCTGAAGCCTGCCCGTGGGAATCGTACACGCCTAACACCCAACCATTACCACTACTCAAGGGGGTGTAGAGAGCAGGGTCTACCCGGGACCTAGGATCGTACGCTGTGGGTATGGACTCTCGTGGGTCGATCATGAGGCCGGGAAACAACCATGGTACCCAGACGCACCCAGATACACCCACAGAGCAGCCTATACGAATGAAGCGGCGCACACAGACAGGCCACAATCCCTACACAGAGTCCTATCTACCCATCCCTCCCCCCCCCTATCTATTTATCATCCCACCCCCCACCTATCCCCTCTACCCCTGCCCATGATGAGTGCACGAGACAGACCTAGAGATCATCGGACCATACTCAACACACAGCCCACACACAGACACTCAACACTCATCAGACCCCTAAAGGCCAACCACTCAAACAGTCCTCTTGGGTGGACCTAACCCCTTGGGTGGACCTAACCCCTTGGGTGGTGCGCAGGCAGTGTCTGTTATAAGTACCATGCATCTGTCCAATGGGGGTGTGCGGCCTTTTGTCTATGAAAAAAGGCTGTCCACCCTATGTATTTTGAGCCAATGGCATTGATTACTTCCCTCGGGTAAGGATTAACCATCGCTCCTCGCCAATCCTTTAAATCCTTAACCCCCCAAAAAATCTATGTCTATTATAGGGGCAAGCTTCACAACGTTGTCATCCTGTAAAGTTCCACTGTTTCCGTTATCACGCAGATTCCTAAACTGCTACTCCCTCCAAAAAATTATCTAGGTCGCAGGTTTTCTCAGGGGCAAAAAAAAAAAAAGCTCTGCGAAGTTGGCTCCACTGCCGCCTCATTCCAATGAGCAAAAATGAAGGTGTTCCCTTTATTTTCTGCTATTTTCCCCTGTAATAAACTCCCTCTCAGATCCGCACCGACGCGGGCAAGGGCCGTCACTTTTAGTCAAAGGCCAGAAACAGAGGTCAAAAGTCATATCCCAAGCCTGATAAATGTCTGAGAAAGTGCCTAGGGCGAAGTGGTACCAGGGTCTGAGTCAAAAGCTGCGCCTAGTACCCCAATGTGAGACAGTTGACTATTTGAAATCAAGAGTCAACCCTAGCACGGGATTCCAGGCCCAAAGTCAAAGTCAACCCGCTGGTCAGCCACGGTCGTCGATCAGATGCACATCATTTGTTGTCTGCAGGTATCCAGAAGATTCCAGTCCAAATGGGACACAAGGGGAATTGGGGACTGCGCTGTATCTGGATGGCCATTGGCTTTCGAATCATCTGGGCCGTCGACCCAAGGAGACTGGAGGCTAGTCAACGCAAGTCAACCCTATAAAGAGTTGACCAGACTCCGTGGAGATCATTCTGCCTTGCGCTGGCTTGATGCTAGTGTTGAGTCACGAGGCTGCTGGAGCTGTATGCGGGGCATTGCGGGCGCCAGATGCCGGGAGGGGGTGCCAGCCTCGAGGGAGATTATGTTGCCGCGGCCATAGCCGTGTAGAGGTAGATGTAGTCGTGATTATTGGCGAGGAGGAGGAGGATCAGGGCTGTGAGACTGACGTGGGATGTGGGGAAGCTTACCTGGACTTACCTGGCGACGACATGTGTGATCTGCTGCTGTCGCCACGAAGGTGAGGAAGTGCTACAACATCCTCCATATTGATTGCTGACGCGGATGGAGGATGGGCGCCCAGTTCTGATCTGCACGGCAGTTATGTCAGAAGACGTCAGAGGGAACATGCAATGCTGAGGTGCCGTTGGGGGAGGAGCCCGAAGTAGGAGTGGATGAGGGGAAGACATACATGAGCTATTGATTATCATCGAGACTCTCCTCCTCCTCTTCTCTGTCTCATCTTTCTCCTTACTCTTCTCTTATGCTCTTCTTTGACGGGATAATACTCTTGAAATGTGCATTTGATCGAGACTTGGACGTATAATTGACGATTGGAGACTTCATGAGTCACGCTGGGTTCAGATTTCCATTGCATTGCTGATTAGCTTTCCGACGTGACTGGGTTCATTACACCCCTTATATAGCCAAGTATCAGAGAAGGTCTTTTGTAAAAAGACTCAGAAATTCAGAATCATTTTACGTGTTCGTTTCGCTTCTGAGTTTTACATCTCTGTTCGTTCGTCCGGTTCACGGTGTATCCCTCCTATTCGTTTTTCCTTTTATTTTTTCAAAGAAAGTATCGACAACAGATTTTGCTGATGACTCTGATAAGCTGACCTGATCAGTGATGACGATCTTTTTTTTTTTAATTTCAAATTTTCTGCAAGGATCTGGGTCCTCAGCAGGCCTAATGGGCCCCCTGTTACAGAAGTGGTCCTGGGCAGGCCTAAGGGCCCCCCTGTTACAGAAGTGCCTGCCCTAAGTGAAGGCGGGCTTAACAAATCTCGATAGGCCATCTGCCGTCAATTTCGTATGTGAGGTCCAGGCAGTTGTGACGCGCCAGTTGGTTGAGGGAAACACAGGCCGAGCCGCAAAGACATTTCCGCATCCTTCCAGGCTTTTCCTGAAATGCAGGCCCTGGGCAAGAATCGCGGCCTCATACACAGACAGTTGGGAGGCCCAGCCGAATGAGGCCCAGAAGCTGCAACAGAGGCACAGCCTCCTGGGGCCGACCGGAAGCTTCTGGGCAGAGGCCCAGGCCAGCCAGGCCGCAGGGGCAGGCAGGCTCTTTCCATATAGGAAAGAGCTCGCTGCCTGGGATCTCAATGAGGCACTTGCTAAATGCTGCGGCAGCACTGCTGGAGCGATTGCTCGCGGGCTGCTTAGCGCTAAGGGCAAGGTGCTGTGCGCATGGAGTCGTGCAGGAAGCAGGGCGCTGCTGAGGGCAGCGCCATATCCCAGCCTCCATAGCTGGCTGGGGCTTGGACTACAGTGAGGCGCAGGGGTGGTCTTCGGGTGTACAGGGGGAAGACGTGGGTGTACAAGGGAGCGAGAGAAGGATGATGATGATGATGATGATGTGAGGGCACATACCTGGTCTTGGCAATGGTCTGCATTGGGCAGCATCTTCAAATACTTTGTGGGCTGCTGACGTCAACAGTTGCATTGTCAATTAGTAGGCAGACAGTAGCTGTGTAGGAAGTAGGCTGGGCGCCGAGCGCCAAGTAGGGAGAAGGGCCCGGACACTCACGTTGGTGGTGGCGAGAGCAAGCTCTCATTGCCATTGGTTTTCAGTGTTACGATTCTTCATTGGTGTTATATTGGTGCAATTCTGCTTTCTGGACACTGTCATACTATCTGGCTTTCAATGTGATTGTGCATTCTGGATATTGTCATCTCGTTATTGCTCATTTTCCTTGCATTTCTCATTTATTTATTTTATTTATTTTTTGAGGTACCTCTTTCTCTATTTTCCCGAATGGGCCCCTCTTTTCTTTCTCTTTCTCTTTTTTCTTTTTTCCATTAGGTACTTCTATTGGGTTCCCCCGCAGGAGTTGCATGTGCTTCTAGTCTTTCTTCTCTACAATGGCCAATTCCAAGGAATGTATACAGAAAATCCGACCAGCAAAAATAAGATTAAAAAATACGAAAAAAATAGAAATAGCAAGATGCTGATGAGCTGTGTGTGTTATTTTGTGGATGAAATCCTCCACTCACGAAGGTAAGTATCGCGGTGCCTCCTCCTTCAGAAGTAGGTTTGTTGAATGTGGTTCCTTAAGACCTGCTGATTCTGCTAGGTGCGGTGATAAGAGCATCTGCCCCTACCAGATCAGCTTGTTGAATGTGGTTCTTGTGTGCATAAATACTCCGATTCCCATTTAGAAAGGGTTGTAAAACTTGTAAATTGTGATCCTTGAGGATGTGGAAAAGAAGTTACACTAATTGCCCCATCTTTCGTGTTATCCCTTGGCTTCTGCCATAGCCACAAGAACTAGATATCCATGCCATTCTGTTAGCTGTGCTTGTAGAGGAAGTGCTGTCTGCTTATTGTTTGATATTATTTGTCTTCATGGATGGGCAGTGGGAGCCTTAACCTGGAGCGGAAGGGTTTTCCGAAGACATTCCTGTACTGGGGAGATATGTTCCATACGCTAGTCAATGTAAGCGCCTCCTTTGTCCACCTTAACCCCTCTCACCTTTAAGTGAAGCTGAAACAGGAACTGTGTATCTTTGCAGATGATGGTTACATCATACACCTCCTTAAGCAGAAGCATCATGCGGCTGGGCATGCCGGCTCGAATCTGTGCCTTTGGCTGGTGGCCCAGAGGTACAAACCTATAAACTACTGTGGAGGTTCCCGTGAACTCATGGGTAAAAGGTCCGCGCGTGTGAGCGGGCTAGGTACCAGTGGTGGGGTTACGTGCTGATTGGAGCAAGTGTGCGAGAATTGCCCCGTCTGCGTCCATGTCGTTTTGTGTTTGGTGTGTGTCGAGTTTTACACTTCAGCCGTGCAGGGGTAAGTGGATATCATGGCCGGTGTGGTTCCACTTTTGAACACCGTGTCCTGGCTGTAGTGGTTACGATGCTTGGCTCTTGAGGCCGAGGTCGCTGGTTCGAATCTGTACTTGCACGGAGGAGGGCCTTTGGGCCAGAGGTACGAACCTATAAACTACAAAGAAATCCCAACTCTATATGAGCGAAACAAGCATCGCGTCAAGGACCCGAGATCAAAACGTTCATCAGTTTGCGATTGTTGCTGACAGAAACCGGCATCGCTAGCAAGTTGTTGCCGTGAGAAATGGTGATCTATTTTTGCAATTTTTCCATCAGAAATTGGGATCAATTCTGTGCTGGGACTGCCTGGGACCCTGCTCGAGCCCTTGCCGGATCAGGACGACCCCCGGGCAGAGAGCGTCTGTCCTGGCTGCCCGGGGACCAGCACAGATATAACATAGTTTTTTCCCAGATTTTTTGCCTTTTTTTTCTCATTTACATTGGGTGTGTCTGGAATGTTGCCCGGACTGGCTCGCCCGGGCCATCCGGGCCAGACAGAGGCAGCCTGGGCAGCTTGGCTGGTAGCCTAGGATCAGTTCGTGATTGTTGTTGTCAGAAATGTGGATCAACTTGCAGTTTTTGCCGTCAGAAATGGTGATCAATTTGCAATGTTGCCGTCAGAAATGGGGGTGAATTTGCAACTGTCGCTGCTAGAAATCTTTAGTCTGAATTGACAATGATTGCCATCGGAAGGAACTGTTTTGTCTGAGACGGCGATTATTACCATCAGAGATTCATAACTCCTTTGGCTGAAAGGCAAGGGTCAACATGCAATGGCTTTGACAGTATAGGTAAGTGCTACGATTCACTCACAGTTTGACCCTTTCTTTTTTCCAATTTGATTCGAAAGTGTAGCTAATATGACCCTGTACAATGGGTATAGAAGAAGTATAGGCACATAGCAAGTTGTGCATCTCGTCATAAGAATACAGGATGTGCTGCCTTCCACAGGAAAACAAAACACAAACACAGCACCGTGGGGGTTTCTTGGAATGACATCGGTCAGCTCTGGCATCCTCCTCTTTCTTATTTACAATGCCACGACCCAGTCAGTCTCGTATCCATGACAGCAATGGCATGTAATTGCATGCGAACAACGCATTGTCTTTCACAGTGGACATGATGATAATGGCGACGACAAGGAGGGCAGAAAAGAAGAAGAAGAAGAAGAAGAAGAAGAAGAAGAAGAAGAAGAATGGCATGTAATTGCATGCTAACAACGCATTGTCTTTCGCAGTGGACATGATGATAATGGCGACGACAAGGAGGGCAGAAAAGAAGAAGAAGAAGAAGAAGAAGAAGAAGAAGAAGAAGAAGAAGAAGAAGAAGAAGAAGAAGAAGAAGAAGAATGGCATGTAATTGCATGCTAACAACGCATTGTCTTTCGCAGTGGACATGATGATAATGGCAACGACAAGGAGGGCAGAAAAGAAGAAGAAGAAGAAGAAGAAGAAGAAGAAGAAGAAGAAGAAGAGGAGGAGGAGGAGGAGGAGGAGGAGGAGGAGGAGGAGGTGAACAGGGAAGAGGAATAGGAGACAAGGACGAGAAGACGGAGACTAAGGATGCGAGGAGGAGGTGAGGTGGGAAGAGGAGGAGGAATCCGAGGCGGAAGAAGAAGATGGAGGAGGAGGAGAAAAATATAAAAATGATGACCTATGATGTGAAAGAATGAGGAGATGGAGGCGAGGGAGGGGAGAAGAAGGTGAAGGAGAAAGGGGAGGAAGTGGAGGAAACTGGAGGAGGCGGAGGAGGAGGAAGAGGAGGAACACAAGAAAGGAGGAGAACCAAGAGGAGGGATTGTGAAACGGAGTTTTATTTAGGATGAAAGTGGGGCAGTCCCTAGCATTTCTGTATTTATCTGTCTAATTCCATCTGGTCTTGAGCCAATGGAAAGGATTTCATGCATCTCAGAGTCCCAGTCCCTGTTCCAAGTCCCAGTGTACCATGTAACATAGGCCCGTCTAAGGTGTCATGGGCCCGCGCTCATGTTAGTTGGCAGATCCATACAGCAGACTGCTACTGTAGCAGGTCTAGGAGGCCCAGTTCTAAGTCCATGGAACTTGGTCCCAGGACAGCCCGTGAAAACTCCGGATGCATCGGAAGCAAACTGTGGCTGGGAGGCAAAGGATACTTCTCCCAGAAAAATTCAAAAACTCCAAAAATTTGGGAACTGCTCCAAGGAAGCAGAAGGACATCAACAGAATTTACATTTGTGTGTCTGTCATGGAATTGTTGTTGCGGTCTTGTGCGATCAAGCAGCGAGTGAGGCTGAGAGACAGAGGAGTTCAGTGTGTGAGGAACAAGCCCTCAAGGGGCCCTATCAGACATATTATGTTCTGGGCTAAGGCCCCCAGCAAGCCGAGTGCCCGCCTCCTAAGTGAAGGCGGGCCTGAATATTCGTCAGGGGCCAAAATTCAACATTTTCATATGTGTTCACGCTCTTGCAGCACGCCAGTTGGTTGATTAAACGCGTGAGCCTCACTAAGCTGCGTCATACAGTTGGCCCAGGCCTAGACAGTTGCGCCTGGGCACATACACACAAAGCAGGGCCGATACATTGGGAAGCAGGCCATCGGCCTTTGGAAAAGCAGTACTGCCGATGCACCTGCCTGGGAGCCCTGCACAGATGCAGCAAACAACCCAAGTCTGGAGACTCAGGCCGTATCCAACTGAAAAGGGCCCAGGCCCTCAACTGTAGTCTCGGGCCTGGACGCAGGGTCTGAGGCCCAACCAGAAGCTACTGGAAGCTTCCAGCCAGGCCACACGCAGCATCCAGGAGGCTGCCACTTCCATAAAAGAAGTGAGGCAGCCCATGCCAGGCATTCTGGCCAGTGCAGGCATTGCGGAAGTGCTGCTGCGCTATCGCTTGATGCTGCGCTGCTGCCAAGGGCGCTGACGGGGCGCGTAGTGGTGAGGTGGGGCGCTGCAGGGCAGCGGGGCGCAGGCAGCCATAGCCAAGCTGCTAGGCGCCAGGGGGTAAGGAGGGCGATCAGGTGGTCTTCAGGGAAGGAGGCGAGTGTGGGTAATCAAGGTCTGACTGAGGGTGACGAGATACTTACCTGGTGCATGAAGAGAGGTCGGCTATGGTGTTGACAGTCATGTACATTGGTCTTCGAGAGTCGAAGTGAGCCTCTTGCGTGAACCAGATGTAGGTAGAATAGTCGGGTAGAGTAGGCTGGGCGCTGGGCGCCAGACAGAGAGGAGCGGCTTTGGATACTGTGTTGGTGTGGCCTACGGGCTTGGACATTGGCTCATTACTTCATTGTATTGCTCTATATGGATGGTTTTCTCAGTGCATTTGTACTCTCTGCTTGGACACGACTACTTGTACATCAGTGTGATTTTGCAACTTGGTTTTCGGTATATCGTTCACACTCATATTCCTTGCAAGTGGATGACGCCCAGGGCCATAGATTTTAGACGAGAGTGAGCAAGAGCGAGGAATGACATTCAGAGAGCAAGAAGGCCTGTTTGAGTAGAGTAGAAGAGAGAGAGAGGAAGAGAGAGCGACTTACCTGAGTGTGGACATAGCCGCACGTGTGTACACACATGAGACTTGTCGTATAAGACTTGAATTTTGTGCAATTTTCAAAGTGTTGTCATATCGTGTCAGTGCACATCAGGGGAGTGTGAAGCGTTGTGTGATGAAGTGTTAACTAGTGACATTGTGAAGCAGTGTGTGAATCATGGGATCATGGCATCAGGACCTACTTGCCAATAGTAGCATGTGTATACATTCAGCCGCATGGGCTGGTGGATTTGCTCTCGTATGGGGGGGAAGTCTATTCCCTGCGTTGATGCCTCCTTTTTTCGTTTTTTCCCATGTGAACTCTGACAATTAACACAAGTGGCTGCTGTTTGTTTTCTCCTACCGTGGCCATAGCTGCGAGTTGCTGTGTATCCTGGTTGCATAGTTATTTGACTTCTTTGCATATTTAGGTCAGAAAGCACCTGTCAGGAAGTACACCTCAATCTGTGACTGACACTGACTGTGGCCGGTATCCACGTGCGTAGTCCAGAAATGTTGCTGTCCCATCTCAGGCCTTTCCACAGCTGAAGTCGCAACAGGCCAGCTTGGGAGCAAATTGCCTGTTTGAAGCATCAGTACAGGATGAAAATGTATTGCCTGACGAAAAGGGCCTATGTCAGAATGGTTTCAACTTTTAACTGCTGTCTTCCCCAGGACACAACGGACCCTGGTCATGATTGTATATAGGCGATCTTTCCAGCCTGATAGTCACGATGTTACATGCTGCGCCTGCACACGAGGGCCATTTTCCAGGCCCTGCGTCCCTCAGGCTGAAAGCCTGAAAACCAGGGCCTACAGGCCCCGTGTCTGTTCAGCTCGAAAGCCTGAAAAACAGGGGCCTACAGACCCTGTGTCGTTTCAGACTAAAAATGGCAGTAGCCTTTCTAGCCTGAAACGAAGGGCCATTTTCGGTCTTTCATCCGATCGAACTGCCCTGAAACTCAGGCACCAAACCAGGGTTTTAGGAACAGGCTATTTTTGGCCTGTTCCCACGACAGCTGCAGCGCCAGACCCTGGCTCAGTTTGGCATTGGCAAGAGCAGCCTCCTGGACTGCCCGCCCTGCAACTGCAGGCAGTCGGAGGCAGTCAGGAGGCAGGCCGAGGTAGTACATAGGGACTTCCCATGCACTTCACGGGTAGGCAGGAGGCAGTCAGTAGTCTTCAGGATTCGGCAGCAGCACTCTGGAGGAGCGCTGCAGGAGTAGCAGTAGCTTCAGCGCTGGGCGCTTGTAGCATTAGCGGTAGTCTTCAGCGCTGGGCGCCATAGCTAGAGTAGTACTAGAGAGAGAGAGATTGGGCGGAGGACAGAGGGACTTACCTGCAGCGCCATTGCTCCAGCTCCGTCTTCGAGGTACCTGCAGCACAGCGCCATCTTCACAGGTTAGTTCCTGGCACATGAGAGAGAGAGTTCTTCTTCTTCCTCTTCTCAGTCCACCATCTCCTTCTCACCCTCTCGCTATCTGACTTCACTGCATCAGCAGACTACGAGAAAGAGAGA